CCCACTTTTTCTCTAAAAATAAATTTTAAAAATCTTTAAAAAAACACACCAGATGCTTCTGCAAATACATGCTGTAAAAGGTTACCCATGTCATTCTGATGCAAACAATATAAAATTACTGTCCTGGCACTTCATATTTTCTTCCCCCAGGAGCTAATGACAGTTTTTCAACTGCTGCACTGGAATGGCAGCCTTAAGGCCATGAGGGAAAGACAGTGCTCTCGGCAGGTAAGAGATCCTATGGGTGAGGGGAGTCTGGCAGAGGGATGTTTTAAGATGGTGGTTGTGTTAGAAATAATCAAGTCTATGGACACCAGGTTGTGAGTATTGAAAGCCTTAAAGTGCCCTACTCACTCCTATTATCTTTCCTATTTAAATCTTAGCTGTGATTCTTTTGCCTGCCTTGCTTCCCCCACCGGGACATTTCCCTTAAGAATCTTCTTAGACGGCTTAAGTGCTGACTTCACTTAGGACTCCAAGGCTGAGTTCCTAGTCCCAGTTGAGTCAATGTGGTGTGAACCTTTACCTTGTCAGTGACCTTCACATTTCCTCTCCCCCTCTAGGAAGTCTTGGCTCACTATTCACATCGAGCGCTGGATGATGATATTCGCCACCAAATGGCATTGGATTGGGTGAGCCGGGAGCAGAGTGTGCCAGGGGCACTGTCTAGAGAGCTGGCCTCAACTGAGCGGGAGCTGGATGAAGCCCGCCTGGCAGGCAAGGAGCTGCGTTTCCACAAGGAGAAGAAAGATATTCTCATGCTGGCTGCTGGGCAGCTGGGCAACATGCATTCTTCCAACTGCTAGGTGCCCACCCACATATCTCCAGGCCCTTTTTAATGTTTTCTAAGATTTAGAATAATTTCTGTACATACTTTCTCAATTTTATACTTTTAAAAATATACATATATATACACATATATGTATGTATAAATTCTACACCTGGATTCCTTTTGGCTAAGAGATAGATCCCTTTTCTTCTAGCTTTTGGATGTGCTTTCATTTGAAGCATCTCCACGCCACTTTACAAGAAGGGCAGGCTGTCTTTGGGTCTTTGCTGGCTTTTACACTCCCAGTAATCCTGTGTAGTCATTTCAGTAGCACAAGATGATTAAGTGTTCATGTCTCCTTCTTTTAAAATAACAGGGAGCTTGAATAAGGACTATTTCCCCTGCCCCCCTCCTGCTTTCTCTTAGACTCAAATGGGTTATAAGGTACAAAGCAAAACCTTTGGCTTGGTTTATCTTGAGCTGGGCCTACTTGGTACCGAGTTGTTCCTCCAGTAATGATATTCCCTAACCTACACCACCCCTCTTCACCACTACCTTACTCCCCTCTGACTCTAGTTGGTACTAGGTAGAAACTGGAGATCTGGTTTCTCATCTTTAAAGTCATTCCTGAGAAAGTGCCAAGGAACAAGAGAGGAATTATAAACACAACTCACAAGGGTTTGTCACCTAAATTGCTAGTCCAGATTTCTGGATGTGCTGTACATTACAGAAGGGGTCAGGGTTGAAGTTCCTTATCTTTCCATGTTCCCTTTTCAGTTCTACCCCCATGCTCCCCTAGCTTAGTTAAGCCTTTTATTTAGACCTTCCTGGCTGTAGAGATTGGTAGAAGGTAAAACATATTTCCCTCCTCACTCTCCTGCCATCATTTTGCTCTTTAGAAAAATTATCTGTCCTATTTGGTGAGGGCCATGTTCCTCTCACTGCCACAAAGTTGCTGCTGTCTACTACCTTAGATGTACATACAGTAGATTCACATTTGTTTTCTGTTTTCTTTCCTCTTCCATCATATTGATTATTAGAGCATAAGTTGATCAGGTAAATTAAATGAGACTTTGGCATCATGGCACTTCCTAATTGGAAAGTTGGGAGACTGTAGGAAGAGAAAGAGAATCAGTGATCAGCCATTTGTGTTTTTAATACTGTTCTCTTCCCCTACCACTCTCCTGGGTGGAATTAGGAGAGAAATCATCTGGAGTACAGGAAAACATTCACTTTGGGATAATTTTTTGTAGAGCTAAGATATATTTTCCCCTTGTTTCTGTAGTCTCCTTTATACAATATTATAGCTCAGTGCACTTTCTAAACTAAGCTTGGGAAGTTTAATGTTTCTACAGTTAAACTTTCCATTTAATGATTATACACTTTGCTTTCACAAATAGGTTAGTAAACAGGCCACAATTTTCTCTTTTGGATCAGATAGGGACAAGATGAAAGTCAGCTTTCTTCCTTTTGAAATCATCTATGGGATCAAAGGTAAGGTATCTAGCAACAAATGTATCACTGCTTGAAATGAACTTCCTTGAATTCTCCAAGCCCCTTCTCTGTATTCCACCAAGTACAGGTAGGATTGGAGCAGAGGCTCCTACATTAAACAATAGGTGTGTCTATTCAGTTTTTATTGATATTTATAATCCAGAAATCATAAACCTTCATTTCTCCTATGCTTCTTTCTCTGGGAAGTGTTAAGGGGTGTGAGTTGTGGGAAGAACTTGTCTTTGCACCTCCTGGATTTACTATTTTTCTCAAATACCAACCAGTAAGATCCCAAAGAACTTGAGAAAAATTGTTCCCTGATCTGTACACTTTTGGTGTTAAAGATTTTACTTGTCTTTTTAGTACTTTCTATGTATTTTATATGTATAATTTTATACAATTAAAATAGATTTTTGTCTAGTGTGCCACATTGACTCTTTGAGACTTTTGTATCAGAGGAGCTATAAAATGACCCTTTCTTTTACATATATACTAAAAAATAATTTTTATTAGTATGCTTTGGGTGATAGAGATAAGATTGTACTGCTGGGGGAAAGCATTCTGCCTCCCCTTCTTCAGACATTTGGGAAGCCTGGGTTTTGTTCTTAGTTCTTTCTCCTGAAGTTCTACCCAATTCCACTTGCAATCTCACCCACTGTGGTGATCTAAACTCTATCATACACATGATTCTCAAATCTATTTCTTCTACCCCAATCTGTTTTGAGCTTTTAAATCTGTATTTCCACACTTTGGACATCACCACCTGAATATGACCCAAGTTGTTTGAACTCATATATTCAAAATGAAACTCATTTCTCCATACATGCTCCTCTTTGAGGCCCCAGATCAAGATGACACCCTAACCAAGTGAACTATTCAGCCAGTCTCTGCCTTCATTCCTTTTTTTTTCTTTGCAAATCCTCATTTGAGGATACTTTTTCCATTAATTTTTAGAGAGAGTGGAAGGGAGGGAGGGAGAGAAAAACATCAATGTGAGAGAGACACATCGATTGGTTGCCTCCCACATGTATTAGGGTGTGGATGGAACCTGCAACCTAGGTATGTGCCCTTGACCAGGAATTGGACCCAAGACCCTTGGGTACACAGGCTGATGCTATAACCACTGAGCTACCCCGCCAGGCTCTGCATTCATTCTTGACATCTTCCACACTACTGTCATGTTTCTTTCTAGAATACTTAATGACTGTGCTTCTCTTCCTGGGATACGTGAGAAGTGGTTATTTCGTTGTTTGCTTTGGCCCATGAGGCATGTGGGAACCACTGAAGAATCCCATGGAAAGATGAAGTCAAACATTTCTTGTATCTTCCCTAACAACTGGCATTGTGTTTTGAAAATATTAGAGGTGGAAGCTACACAAACCTCCTCCCAGGACCAAACTGAAATTATAATAAAATTATAGAAAAATCATCCTGAATAACCAACTGAAGACTAGCTGGAGAAAAGCCTTATAACCAAGGACTTACAGAAGGAGCCACATCAAGACTGGTAGCAAGTGCAGAGGTGCGAGAGGGCTGGCTGGGCTCCCACAGGTGGCAGCTGAAGTTCCAGAGGGATATCGCAGCTGCAGGGGTCTCCCCCTGATAAGTCTGGGGCCTAAACCCTAGGCAGGGCTCCCCAGCCTAGAGCATCAGAACCAGGAAAGGCATCCATATAACATCTGGCTGTGAAAAGCAGTGGGGTTTCTTTCTGCCAAGAAGAGACAACTAGAGACACAGGCACCCTCTAAAAGAGCCAACACACAAAATTTTGTTTGTACTCCCCCTGGGCTCCAGCAGAGGGAGGAAAGAGCAGACTAGAGATGCCTGAGGAGGGTCTGGGGTTGGTGGTTCTGTGGAAAGTTGAAGGATCAGCTACCAGTAACCCTGTACTGGGTTATCCCCCCCATACTTCAGAAGCAATCTTTCTTGGGCAGAGCACTCCCCTCCAAGCAGCATCAGCCTGAGGGGAATAGGTGACCTGCTGAAATCCCTCTTGCCCCACCCTGTGGAGCTTATGCCTAGCTGAGAAGTACAGTGGATCCTCCTTCAGTAACTAAGCCTAACAGGCAGGCTACAGGCAGAGGTGGATCTCTGGGTGCTTTGAGACTTTTGCTGACCTGCCCACTGGTAAAAGCCAGCCTGGGTGAACAGGTCCTCTCTGCATGCACCCAGGCCCAGCAGAAGGAGCCACAAGCTGTGGATCACTGATAGCTCCAAATAGGTTGCCCAGGGCCAGTCACAGGTAGTATCTGACAGTGGCCTGCACCAGAGTCCCTCTGAAGAGGCCCAGAACCCATATACCCAGTGACCAGATTCAGAAAACAACAGAGCAGGATCCAATAAGCTTCACAAGCAGTATATCCACAGAGAGAAACCAGCAGGCACAATAACCTGCTGAGGCAAATTCTGCTTTGTATGTTTAGGACCTGCATAGCAGTTTGCATGCTGTGTTGGCAGGTGAGCCTCTCAGCCAGCCAGCCTGAGGTCAACCCTATGTATGAACAAGCCAACAGCAATAAAGACTCAATTATAATAGGAGGACCCACATAATGCCCACAAGGGATATTCCTAGAGCACCTAGCTCAGGTAATCAGGGAGAATGAGCCACTGGGTCCTATAGGACACCTACTATATAAGTCCACCCTACCAAGACTGGGAGTCATAGCAGATCTAAGTCACACATCAAATGCAAAGAGGCAGCGAAAATGGGGGAGACAAAGAAACAGGCCCCAAGTGAAAGAACAAGAGAATTCTCCAGAGGAAGACCTAAATGGAATGGAGGGAAGCAACTTACCAGAGTTCAAAGTAATGATTATAATGATGTTCAACAGCATGAAAAAGGACATAGAAACCATAAAAAAGGACCTGTGAGAAATTAAGAACACAGTATCTGAAATAACACACTGGAAGGACAAAATAGTAGGTTAGATGAAGCAGAGGATGGAATGAGTGATTTGGAACACAAGGTAGGAAAAAACACCTAATTAGAGCAGCAAAAAGAAAAAAGAACTCAAAAAAGAGGATAGTTTAAGGGACATTTGGGGCAAAATGAAGCGTAACAATATCCACATCATAGGTATACCAGAAGGAGGAGAAAGTGATCAAGGTACTGAGAACCTATGAAATAATGACCAAAAACTTCTCTAGCCTGGTGAAGAAAAAAACACACAAGTCCAGGAAGTGCAGAGAGTCCCAAACAAGATGAAGCCAAAGAGTCCCACACCAAGACACATCATAATTAAAACGGCAAAGGTTAAAGAGAGAGAAAGAATCTTAAAAGCTGCAAGAGAAAGGCAGTTAGTTACCTACAAGGGATTTCCCATAAGACTTGTCAGTTGATTTCTCAACAGAAACATTTCAGGTCAGAAGGGAATGGCATGAAATATTCAAAGTGATGAAAAGCAAGGACCTATAAGCAAGGCTACTATGGCCAGCAAGGCTATCATTTAAAATTGAAGGAGAGCCCGGCTGGTGTGGCTAAGTGGTTGAGCATCAACCTATGATCCAGGAGATCATGATTCAGTTCCTGGTCAGGGCACATGCCTGGGTTGTGGGTTTGATCCCTGGCAGGAGGCAGCCAATCAATGACTCTCTCTCATCATTGATGTTTCTCTCTCTCTCTCTCCCCCTCCCTCCCTTTCTCTTTCTGAAATCAATAAAAACATAATATTAAAAATTTTTCTGAAGGAGAAATAAAGAGCTTTCCAGACAAGAAAAAGCTAAAGGAGTTTGTTACCACCAAACTACAAGAAATGTTAAAAGGCTTGCTTGAAGAAGAAGAAAAAGAAGAGGAGGAGGCCCGGCCGGGCGTGGCTCAGCGGTTGAGCATCAACCTAGGATCCAGGCCATCAGGGTTCGATTCCCAGTCAGGGCACATGCCTGGGTTGCGGGATCAATCAATGACTTTATTATCATTGATGTTTCTATCTCTCTCTCTCCCTCTCCTTCCCTCTCTCTGAAATCAATAAAGATATATTAAAAAATAAAATAAATAAATAAATAAAATAAAAGCTGCCAAAACATTAGTGGGGGGGGGGGGAAGAAAAGAAGAGGAGGAGGAGGAAACAAACACAGGAACATAGTTAAAAAATAAAATGGTAATAAATAGGTACCTATCAATAATCACTTTACATGTAAATGGCTTAAATGCTCCAATTAAAAGACATAGGGTAGCCCTAGACAGTTTTTCTCAGTGGTCAGAGCATCAGCCCATGGACTGAAGGGTCCTGGGTTAGACTACAGCCAAGAGCACATACCTTGGTTGCAGGCTCAATCCCCGACCCCTGGGTCCGGGGCTTGTGCAAGAGGCAACCAATCAATGTGTCTCTCTCACACTCATGTTTCTCTCTCTCCCCTCTCTCCCTTCCATTCTCTCTGAAAACAATGGAAAATATCCTTGGGTGAGGATTTTAAAAATAAAAATAAAAAAGACATAGGGTAGCTGAATGGATAAGAAAACATGACCCATATATATTCTGTCTTCAAAAGACCCACCTCAGAACAAAAGATACACACAGATTAAAAGTAAAGGGACAGAAAGATATTTCATGCAAGTGGAAAGGAAAGTTGGGGTAGCAATACTTATATTTGAGAAAACTTTTTTTTTTTTTAATATATCTTTATTGATTTCAGAGAGAGGAAGGGAGAGGGAGAGATAGAAACATAATGATGAGAGAGTTGTCATTGATTGGCTGCCTCCTGCATGTCCCTGACTGGGGATCGAGCTCACAACCTGGGCATGTTCCCTGACTGGGAATTGAACCTTGATCTCCTGGATCCTAGGTTGATGCTCAACCACTGAACCATGCCCGGCCAGGCCAGACTTTTTTTTTTTTTGTAATTTATTTCCAGAGAGAGAGGAAGGGAGAGAGAAACAGTGATGTGAGAGCAGAACATAGATACATGCCTCTGTCATGCCCTTCGCCAGTGATCGAAGCCACAACCCTGGAATGTGCCCTGACCGCGAACCAAACTGACAACGCTTCAGTGCATGGGATGTTACACAACCAACTGAGCAACACTTGCCAGGGCAAAATAGACTTTAAAACAAAGGCTAAAGTAAGAGACAAAGGAGGACACAACATAATGATAAAGGGAACAATCCAACAAGAGGATATAAACCTTGTAAACATTTAAGCCCCCAACATAACAGTAGTTAAATCTTGATAGCCATACAAGGAGAGATTGACAGTAATATAGTTATAGTAGGGGATTTCAACACCCCATTCACATCAATGGATAGATCTTCCAGACAGAAAATCAATAAAGAGATGGCGGCCTTCAATGACACACTTGATCAAATAGATTTAATTGATCTATTTGAATATACATTTTCTTCAAGTGCACATGGAATGTTTTCTAGGATAGACCACATGTTACGACACAAAATAAGTCTCAATAAATTTAAGAAGACTGAAATCATATAGTGCATTTTCTCTGACCATAATGCTATGAAACTAGAAATCAATCACAAGAAAAAAACTGAAAAACACACAAAGAAATGTAGGCTAAAGAACTTGTTACTAAACAATGAATCAGTTATCAATGACATCAAGGAGGAAATCAAAAAATACCTTGAAACAAGTGAAAATGAGAACACAACCTCAAACCTGTGGGACACAGGGAAAGCAGTCCTGAGAGGGAAATTCATGGCATTACAGGCCTATCTCAAGAAACAAGAAAAAGCTCAAATAAACAATCTAACTTTACACTTAAAAGAGCTTGAAAAAGAACAACAAAGCCCAATGTGGGTGGAAGGAAGGAAATAATAAAGATCAGAGCAGAAATAAACAAAATAGAGTCTAAAAAAAAAAATAGAAAACATCAATGAAACCAAGAACTGGTTCTTTAAAAAGATAAATAAGATTGACAAACCTTTAATCAGACTCAGCAAGAAAAAAAAGAGAGGATCCAAATAAAATCAGAAATGAAAGAAGTAACAACTGACACCAAAGAAATACAAAGGATTGTAAGAAAATATTATGAATAACTATATGCCAAAAAATTGGACAATCTGAATGAAATGGGTAAATTCCTAGAAACATATAATCTTCCAAAACAAAATCAGGGAGAATCAGAGGATCTGAATAGACAGATTACAACTAATGAAATTATTGCAGAAATTTTAAAAACTCCCAACAAACAAAATGGATTGGATGGATTCACACGTGAATTTGACCAAACATTCAGATAAGAACTAACACCTATACTTCTCAAACTATTATAAAAAATTCAAGAGAAGGAAAGACTCCCAAGCTCATTATACAAGGCCAGCATTATCAATTCCAAAACCAGATAAAGACACTACAAAGAAAGAAAATTATAGGCCAACATCCCTGATGAACATAGATGCTAAAATCCTCAACAAAATATTAGCAAACCAAACCCAGCAATACATTAAAAAGATCATACACCATGACCAAGTGGGATTTATTCCAGGGGTGCAATGGACCCATCTGGGCCCCAAGATGTCTCATCTTTTTACAGCTCTGTTTTCCTTCTTGCAGCACATCCTCTAGTTTCCCAGGGTCTGTAGGAAAACTTATCTATACTTAGTAAGGTGAATCATCATTAAACAACCGTGGTCCTATTCCTATTAGGTGCCCTCCCCCCTTTCACCATCACAGTTAACAGAGTATGATCAACATCTCTGCCCCCAACAAGCCTATTTAAGAAAAAAATACTAATAAAAGTGTGGGGGCTATTTGTAAATGTTAAAAATCATGAGTACTCAAATACTTGTTGTAGGGAAATTTCTTGCCTACAGGATAAGTTCTAAACTCTTCAGCATGACATACAGTTTGGCCCTAAACTGTATTTCCAGCTTTATTTCCTAAGTCACACAGCATCAAGCAAACAGAATTTCTTGTCATTCTGATATTCATTCATTCAACAAGTATATACCAGATGTCTACCAGTAGCCAGGCACTGGTCTAAACTTTGCAGATATAATTGTAAATACAAGTCTTTGCCATAACGATTACATTCTAATGGGGAAAACAGACATTAAACAAGTTAGGAAGTAAACAAGCTGACTAAAGTTTCATATTTAAGTTCTGTGAAGAAATAAACAGAGTGAAGGATATGAGACTAGAGAAGACACCTTTGGGTGACAGTAGTATTTTAGGGAGGCCTAAAGTATGGAGTTGAACTAGCCATATGAAAAGCTGGAGTAAGAGCATCTGGAGCAGAAAGTTGCAAAAGTCCTGAAATGGGAAAGAGCACAACACAACATAGAGGAAAAGTGTAGGATGAGCTTGAGCGTAACCAGTGAGAGAGAAAAATGGTGGTGGAAGAGGTTGGAGACATATGCAAGGGAGGTTAGATGAATTTAAATTTTATTCAAAGTGCAAAAATAAGGAAGGGAGGTGACCAGCTGATTTTAAAAAAGATCAATAAAGATATATATTTAAATAAATAAAAAAATAGATAGATAGATAGATAGATAGATAGATAGATAGATAGATAGATAGATGATAGATAGATAGATAGATAGATAGATAGATAGATAGATGATAGATCAAAATACCTACTGTGGAGAATGGATTAATGTCTCCTAGTCTCACTCAACACAACTGCTTTGCCTGGAAAACGACCGAGTCTTAAAGGCCCAGTTCAAACAGAAGTCCTCCCTTTTGTTAATTTAAGAAACATTCAAACCAGTGAAGAATTTTTGTGAGTTTATTTGCGCCAAAGTGTAGACATATGCCGATAAGCCAAAATCTCAACGGATTGAAATAATGCTCCAGCCCAGCTGGGCGCAGCTCAGCGGTTGAGCATTGACCTAGGATCCAGGAGAGGGAGGGTCAATTCCCAGTCAAGGCACGTGCCATGTCGCTGGCTCAAACCCCAGTCGGGGGTGTGCAGGAGACAGTGAATCAATGACTCTCTCATCATTGATGTTTCTCTCTCCCTCCCCCTTCCTCTCTCTGAAATCAATAAAGATATATTTTTAAAAAAAGAAAAGAAATAATGCTCCAGAGAATGGCAGTTTTACACTGTGCTTTATAGCTTACAATTAAAGAAGACACAAGTGGGTTACAAGAAATTCATGGTGATAGATGAGGGAGGTGGAAGCAAGCAAAGCAGAGGCAAAACCTCTGGGATTGGAGTTTAACAGTGAATAGTTAACAAGGTAACAATAACAATGAGAGCATTGGCCCTGGTGCATTGAGGGCCCAGAAAAAGGGAAAACTGCTATGTTTTAAAGGGCAGTGTTAATCAGGTGTGTTATCTCAGATGCCAAAGACAACCACTGGTTTAGCTAAGGTGAAAATTTAATCTTTGTGAAGGAAAAGTACTGCCTTAGGGCATGACTACCAACCATAAACTGCTTATATTTAAAAAGTTTTAATTTCAGACCATCCTTTGTAGTTATTTTAAGTCTCTTGAATTTGCAAGGCCACCACTGAGCTTTTCAGGTTTAGTATGTGGCCCCTTTTCTCCACACTTACATGGATTCCCCCTACTCCCATTCCTATTAGAAACTTGCTTTGTATCACCATTCCGCTTTGTGACAGCAAGTACCACTTCCATGTGCAATTATAAAGTGATTGTTGATAATATAATTATTTTTCCTTCTATTGCCAGCACCACCTCTAGTATTAGACACATATAAACATTCTAAATTGTTAAAAAAATTAATAAGTTAATCTGCAATCCACTGTTGTTTAAGGCCTACGTCAGGATTCCAGGATTTGGGGAAAATATGAGTTTTGCCCGTAACTCCTGGGTTTTTGGTGTTTGTTTGTTTTTTTAATTAAAAGCATTTTAAAATTTTTATTGATTTGAGAGAAATAGCGATGTGTTGTTCCACTTAATTATGCATTCTTGTATGTGCCCTGATGGGGATGAATCCGCAACCTTGGCATATAGGGACCCTCTGACCAACTGAGCTACCCTGCGGGAGTTCAGCTCCTACGTTTTTAAAGGTGAAAAACCCGCCCCATCCTCCAAGAAACTAAAGCCCCTATTTTCTTTAAAGCCATGACCATTTTTCAATTCCCAGAGGTGGTGGGAAAAGCTTAGGAATTTATCTTAAGAAGAAAAAAAGTTATCTGTCTCACCAAAACAACTGCACACACACAACCAGGTCTGTTAGTTTAAGAAAGAAATTCGGCCCCGCAGTGCGCTCCAGGAGCAGCTTTTTGAGCCAGTATTGCTGACTGAACTTTTTTTTTTTTTTTAATGCTTACATCGCAGATCCGGCTACCCCTAGGAACAGAATACAGGCCCGGAAGTTTTGAAAAAAACTCTCCAACTTCCATTTTCTAGTATGGGGTGAAAAGACACTGAAGGCACCCCTCTACTGAAGAAATTAGGCTGGGCTTCCACGTCCGCAGCGTCTCTCCTCAGTTGCCGTAGACAAGTGGGTGCCACCGTCTTGGCCCAGCCCCTGCGCGTCCCTCACAGTGCGCCGTCGGGGCTCACGACCTGCTCAAGATGTCTGCAGGAGCACTTCCGGCTCTCCCTGAACACTTCCGCTCTCCCGGGACTAGGCCCGCCTCCATTGCGTATTTTCAGCGCGACGAGGGCAGGACTTAGAGTAAGCTTCTGATTGGTCATATATACTGGCGACCTTTCCCCTCCGCGACAGTTTCCCGGGTGCTTAGATCGCGAGCTGTCCGGCCGAGAGTTACAGGAAGGCAAGATGGCGGACGTGCTGGATCTTCATGAGGCCGGGGGCGAGGATTTCGCCATGGATGAGGATGGGGACGGTGAGGACAGTGGAGGCGGCTGCGGGAAGCGGGGAAGGTGCGAGAGAAGAGCGTCACAGGGAAACATAATTTCTCTTCTTCCCGGCAGGGAGGATGGGAGCCGGGGAGCTAGGTTTCAGTTGGACTGAAGACTCCGCCTCCGATTGGAGGCTTGGGGGCGGGACCAGAAAGGGACTGGAACTGGAGGTGGTGGGGTCCGCTCTCAGACAATGTCTTGGGAAAGAGACTGTTGTTCTAAATGTTATCTTTGGTACTTATTTTTTCACTTACGGGGTTTCAGAGAGCATCCACAAACTGAAAGAAAAAGCGAAGAAACGGAAGGGCCGCGGCTTTGGGTCCGGTGAGTGTGAGGAAAATGGGGTCTGCTTTGGAGTCCCCATCCATTTTCTTGGGGAACCGCGGGAGAGCCTGGGTTCGCGGTGATCTGGTGTGTGTTTCCTAGAAGAGGGGTCTCGAGCGCGGATGCGTGAGGATTACGACAGCGTGGAGCAGGATGGCGATGAGCCCGGACCACAGCGCTGTGAGTAGAGTGGGACCTGTAGGTTTGTGTAGAGAATGAGAGACCCGTAAAATAAAACCCGGTGGGAAAGGGGCCAGAGATAGCTTAACCAGCCCCCGGAGCCTGCACTTGCTCTACTCCTGTGATCTTCAAGTTTTTCTCTCAACCAACCAACCTCCCTCCCCTCCTTCCTTCCCCAACAGCTGTTGAAGGCTGGATTCTCTTTGTCACTGGAGTCCATGAGGAAGCCACGGAGGAAGATATCCATGACAAATTTGCAGAGTATGGGGAGATAAAAAACATCCACCTCAACCTGGACAGGCGGACAGGGTACCTGAAGGTATGCTAAGTTACACTCCATTGCTTCTCTTCCCCAGTAACCCTCAGACAACATGGGTACATCTCCCATATTTGCTGTGGTTGGCCAAGAACAAAGTTGAAATGAAATGGCATTGGAAATTGATTTTGTTAGACATAGCAGACATAGAAACAGACAAACACGTTGCATCTACAGTAGGGATCTATGATGTATATTATTCATTGTTTAAAGTTAATAGGTTTTCCTATTTGAGTAGAAAATAGCTTGGTCGAGCAGGAGGGTTTTGATCATCTGTCTTTTCACTTGCCCTAGGGGTATACTCTAGTTGAGTATGAAACATACAAGGAGGCCCAGGCTGCTATGGAGGGGCTCAATGGCCAGGATTTGATGGGACAGCCGATCAGTGTGGACTGGTGTTTTGTTCGGGGTCCACCCAAGGGCAAGAGGAGGTAAAATGGAGCGGGCAAACACTATTTTGGTGAAGGGAATATGAGCAAAACAGAGAAAGGACATTGTATTTTGTCCCTCTGATGGACTCCCCCTCCCTTTTTCCTAGAGGTGGCCGAAGACGAAGCAGGAGTCCAGACCGGAGACGTCGCTGACAGGACATGTGTTGTCCAGGTGTTCCCTCCAGAGATTCCATTTGACCATGCAGCCTTGGAGAAGTAGGGCTGGGGTGGAACTCACTGTTTATATTTAATCTTTAACCCTATTGCTTAGTGTGTTGGGGGTTTATGTTTTGTCTTTTGAGTTATAAATAAATGTACCATTTTTGTTTTCTACATTTAAAATTATTTTCTTGCTCTAACCTTTTAAGCTCTAAAGTACTATTTACAGTAAGGCAGTATGGGTGAAGACACGGTGAAGATAATTCTCCCAGTAACTGAATTCTGTGTGAGTTTCTACATTAGACAGTCTCAAGTCTCAAAGGGTCAAAGTAGAAACACTGCTTAGTATTTATTTTTCTTGGAACTAAGAGAGTAGGGGTAGAAGTGAGATGTTTTCAGGATATTAAAGAATAATTCTGTTTCTATATACTCTGTCCTGAACAAATGGATGTTCCAGGAATGTTTCTTTGTTTCTCTTGCCCTTGTTGCCATATTTTTTGCACCTCCAGCTGTCTAAGGGCTTAAATCTCCTACTGGGGCATTCTCCTAGATTCTCCTTCCTTGAAGGAGTCTGTACAAAGTTCTTGGTGTCCACTTTGGCGGCCAAGGGTGAAAGCCCCTTGGAGATGATCCAGAGGAGCACCGACAAGGCCAAAGGGGAAAAAGATGTGCTGATGCTGGGTGGAGCTTCAACTAGGGTTGTGGGAGAGAACCAGTACCGGAGACCTAGCAGGTAGTGAAGTGTCCATCAGAGGACAAAGGTCAGGGCCAGTCGCAGGTCCACAGACGGACACAGGGGTGATTGTCTAAGGGCAAATTCACCGGCAGGGGCTGGGAATTTACAAAATATACTGAAATTCAGAACCATTCAGCTCCTGACCTGAGTATAGGGTTAATTGACAGGTGGGCAGTGAGATGGAGCTTTCCCCGACCAGGAAGAAAATGCTGCAAGCCCCCTTCTCCTTTCCAGCCTAGGACTATATGCTCCCTTTCCCCGAGGGATTAGGACAGACCTGCTGAAGGAAGGGTTTGATTGAGGTGCTGTTACATGAAGTACTAAGTCTACTTTAAGACTTCGTGGTGTCCCAGAGTAAAGGAGAATGCGGACCACCTTTCTCCCTAATCCTGTCCACCCAGCTCAAGTTCAGATGATGCCTAGAGGCTGGTTAGAATTGAAGGCATTCAAGAAAATTATGCAGCATCAGGTACTAGAAATACAGTTAGGATCTCACTTTTGGTTTGATAGGTAGCTATCAGAAAAATAAATGAGGCTAGTGCAATAGTTTGAGGGTATGGATTAGGGCCTAGGGATTGACGTTCCACCTTGTCAGGGAACTAGACACACTGAAGATAAGGTGGCTATAGCAGGTGGCCATGGCAATCAGTGACGACAGAATGGGCAGCAGAAGATAAAGAGGTTATAGGTAGTCTCTTGCCATTGAGCTTTGAAGCTGCCTTTGGTGACACACTGAGTAAAGGGGCCTGGGTCAGCTTGGCGGATGGTATGGAATAGGAACAGCTGGAATGGGGTTGAGGACTATTAGAACTGGTCCCCTTCCACCCCAGCCTACCCACCAGTGTCACTCCATCTGTTCCCAATTCATCCTTAAATCTGCAGAATAGTTTAGTGCTGAGTTATGGTTCATCCACAGTGCCAGTATTTAAAAGGTTAAGTTTGTTAAATTCTGGGACTTAAAGAATCCTGTCTTTTTTTTCTTTCTCTACAAGTACTATGATAAAGATTACACTTTATAATAGGCTATCTCTACCACCTCACCAACATTTTTAGCTGAAATGGTTTTTCTGATGTGTTGTCTAATTCTGTGGCCAAAAATTTTGTGTAAAATGGGTGCTGCTAAAGTTTCAGGCCATTGTGCAGCCACTCTGAAGTGACCTTTAGTAATAGTCTTATGTACAATAACTATAATGCTGAAACAATGTTAAATAATAAAATTTAACATTTTCTGAATGCTATTGGCTGTCCCTCCCCCCTTTTGGTAAATTGCTTGAGTTTTTTGTTTGAATCAGTAAAGAATATTTTTCAGGTTTGAACTTCAGGTAAGTTAGAACCTTGGTTCAGGAAAGATGGAATGAGTGAGTCACTATTAGTTTGATAAAAGGCAAGCTGTGTAGGTATCAGATTCCTAGATATAAGGCGTCTGGAAAAGATTTCAGCAAGCATGAGGGACTTTTAGGAAAGGTAGATAGTATCAACTATAGACATACAATTTTATGAACTGCCTAGAGTTATGATCAGGCAAGGCTGAGCTAGTTGGACATTAGTCTTTCCTCTTCCCCTATCTTTAGTGCATATTTTGGGGGGGAAGAGGGGCTATGCCTTGAAATACTTTAACTGTCAGAAGGGGTTTAAAAATAGGTCAGGCTCCTGGACTTGTTTGATCCATAGCCTTATTTCTGCCTGTCCTTTCCGTATTTTATGTGCAGTTTACCTAAAAACCTTCCTTTTAACTACTTTTGATACTTGGAAACTTCAGCTTACAAACTAATTTCTTACTACCCCAGTACTCCTTCATCACACTAATACCACACAAATAAAAAATTATTTTTTTGCCCTGGCTGGGTAGTTTAGTTGGTTAGAGTTTCATCCCAATATGCCAGGGTTGCAAGTTTGATCACCAGCTGGGGTACATGCAGGAGTCAACCAATGAATACAAAGTAAGTGGAGCAACAAAATCAATGTTTCCTCTCTCAAATAGTAAAAAAAAAATTTTGACATTGATATTTTAAATATAACATATGGGTGATGCAGAATTATACAAGAGGAGGCCAATTTGAAACAAAAAATATCTCACTTTTTGCACATGTATCATAATGTTACCATCAGTTTGCCATTGAAGCAAATGGATATTGTAACAGTCAGTACAGGCTGTAAGAAAGAATGAAATTCATCTCTGTCATCATCTTGTGGCCCATGTGTTTCAAGTGATTTAGCCAGTCATATGGCTAGTAATAGAGCCTAGACTCAGAAAAGAAATAAAGTAAAACAAGCAAACAGTGCAACAAAAACAGGCTTCTAACTCCAAGTCCACACCTAAAATTTACTTCCTTATGAACAAACCCAACTAATTCCTTCTACACGGAAGCAACAAGCTGGGTTTTTGTTTGTTTGTTTTTTAAATATATCTTTATTGATTTCAGAGAGAGGAAAGGAGAGGGAGAGAGAGACGGAAACATCAATGATGAGAGAGTCATTGATCGGCTGCAGCCCACAACCCGGGCATGTGCCCCGACGAGGAATCGAACCCTGATCGCCTGGATCCTAGGTCGACGCTCAACCACTGAGCCACGCCCGGCCGGGCGCAACAAGCTGTTTTTTAAATCTTGGGGTAGCAGAGGTCCTGTTCTCACCATACTATTGGAAGATAATTTTATATATATATATTAGAGCTATAGTCAGACTAACTTTTGGTAGATATTTTTAATATTTGAGGGTTTAAGGATGAAATCTTTGACTCTATAATGCATTGTCATGCATTTTAGCTGCCTTATAGATAACAATCCTATCTTAGTCTCAGAGATGCTGCTCTACCTCTCTCACCCCTCCACCTCCCTATGGTAGTAGTGGGTTTTGTTTTTGTTTTGAAAATTGCTTCATATTTAACTTTTTTCTAGTTCATTTTCATATTGAGATTTGATTACCTGGTAGTCCAGGTCAGATGGTCTCTTTTTTTTTTCCCGTTTTTTTTTTTAATCACCTGCGAATATTTTTCCATTGCTTTTCAGAGAGAGTGAAGGGGGAGCTCGAGAGAGACGCATGGATTGGTTGCCTCCCGCTCATGCATAACCAGGGCTGGGGATTCAGCCTGCAACCTAGGAATGTGCCCTTGTTTGGAACTGAACCTGGGACCCCTCAGTCCCCAAGCCAACGCTCTATTGAGCCAGTCTGCCTAGGACTTTTTTTCCAGTTTTGACACCCATTTCACAATAAAGCTAGAATAAACAAATACAAATCTGATTATGTCACTCTCCACTTTTTACTTTAGTGTCTCTCCACTGTCCTGAGGATAAAGTACAAACTTAATGTTTGTAATCTGTCTCTTCATTTCCTCTCCAGATTCATTACTTGCCATTTTCTAGCCCTCAACTTGAGATCCACTATCCTCCACTACCAGTCCCCTCCCCCCAGCATTCCTCCTGCTTGAACTTAGGTCTAACACCTGTCTTTCAAGAATCCAATTTTAACATCTCTGGGACCCCTTCCCTGAGGGAGAGAGGGTCAGACACCCCTCATTGTTCTTTAGCTCCTTGTGTTACCTAGTATAACATTTGACTGTACACTGTATTGTAGTAATTTGTCTCCTGCACTAGTCTATACATTTCTTGAAGACAGGACTTTGTTAGAACATCTGAGTGTACCTGGGGGATTATGTACATTATATTTTGAATTGATGAATGAGTACCACAAAGTTTTAACCAAAGCGGCTGGCTTCCCTGTCTTTTTTTTTTTTTTTTTAATATATCTTTATTGATTTCAGAGAAAGGAAGGGAGAGGGGGAGAGAGAGAGAGAAACATCAATGATGAGAGCGTCATTGATCGGCTGTAGCCCGCAACCCGGGCATGTGCCGTGACCGGGAATGGGACCCTGATCGCCGGGATCCTAGGTCGATGCTTAACCACTGAGCCACGCCCCGCCGGGCCCCTGTCTTCTTAATAGACCCCCCATACACGTTTCCTCCCTGCCCTAGAGTTTTTCTGCAAGTCTCCTGAAGCAAGGTGGGACTGGGAGGGCACAGAGGGGAAGCTAAGTGTAACACAAAACTGAAGGAAGAGGCGTAGATCCAAGGGTACTGCTTTTAAGACCTTAACAGATACAAATTGACAGGCAATGATCTTAACATGCCAAAGAGTATCAGGCACTGCCCCTGGGGATGAACGGCTGACCACCGCCGGCCACACCCCTTGGCTCTGAAGGCTCCTACTATGTACCCAAAGTCTTGTCCAGTCCAGCCCTGAATCCAGACAAGGCACCACCTGGGGCAAGGCAAGCAGGTTACTAAGTCCACAGGCTGCCCCAGAAGGTTCCTTGCAGCCGAGTGGGTGGCGGTGGAGCCCAGTGACCACAGGCGGGAAAGCTGGCACACATGGCCACTGGATTCAGGAACACGAGTGTCCGGCCTGCGATGTCCCCTGCGGGCCACTGAACAGTGACATTCCAGGTGGCACCTGGGGCATGACTGCAGAAGTGACCAGGAAATCCAGGGCTGCTAAGTGGGCAAACGGTCGCCCTCCCTGAGGGACAGCTGACGGGTGCGGCCGCGGCCAGCCGGAGAAACAAGCAGCACAGTGGCCACTCCCGCCCCTCGGACCTCGGCCGCGAGAAGGCCAGCGGCTCTGGACCCTCACCTCCGGCCCCGGCGCGGCCGGGCCTCCCACCGCCGACCCCAGGGGCCCTGCCTGTGGACACGGTGACTGGGAAGGGAAAGGGGGTTGAAGAGGTGAACTTCGCTACAGCGTCTTCCGTCCCGCTTCAGGATGCGGGGCTGGTTTGAGCTCCGGCCCTAAAGCCTCCGCCCCCGGGGCTCGTCCGCGTTCGGAGGCCACCCGTCCGGCTGCCGGGGTCCTGCGGGCAGCGCGCCCGGCGCTAGCTCCCACCTCCGTGGACC